GGGAAGGGAAGGGAAGGGAAGGGAAGGGAAGGGAAGGGAAGGGAAGGGAAGGGAAGGGCATACTTGTGTTCTCAATCTAGGGACAGAGCTATTCTTCTCTGGGATCACAATAAAGAAAACAGAGTGTGAAAGTGATCTGTTGAGGCAGAATTCAACTGCTACTACAGCACATTTCTCATCCTCAAGGTAGGATGAGGATCTCTCCTCTAACTCAAGTTCAACTCTTGTAGGCTATGTGAACACATCTATGCAGTTTTCTTGGCAACATTACAGAAGTGGTTTATCGTTGCTTTCTTCCAGATGTGTATATGTACCTGCGTGTGTTTGACTTTCCAAACTAACCCACCCCCCTGGGACTTCTTGGTGGTCTCCCATCCAGGCCTGGCTCTATTTTGTTTTTAATCCGTCAAGGTTGGCTAGTGCTATCACCGGTTGTGCTGAAGACTTGACTCCTCAGAAAGAATACAGAAGTGACTTGTCGCTGCCCTCTTGCTGCCTGCTGTTTTTTCAACTGCCCTAGAGAAGGGTCGCTTCAAAGTACCCAAGCAGAAGCTGGCATAGGCAGGAAGTGATCTGAGGCTGTCGGTGGGCAGGAGTTCTTTGGCCAGCCCCCCCCCCCAGGAAAGCCCAACCAAAGTCTGCAGCATCGCAAGAGTTGCAGAGCTGCAGAAATCTTTGAATTTCTCATTTCACCCTTTCTCAGCTCCGTTCTCGATATTCTGTAGCAGAACTTTAAAATTCCCTTCTCTTGGCAGAATGCACAACAACATAATTTGATGCCAGGGAGGTTGTTCTCACGTGCAGACAGAGTTTATCTATAGCTCGCTTTTTATTAAGACCATCTCCTCCCATGAATATAGATAGTTTAGCTGATTATTATTTCTTTTAATCATTACTAAGCAAGAATGTTCATGTTCCATTTGCGCATGAAAATCAGCAGAGGGTTTGATTCTGAGATACAGTACATCACCGATTTTCCATGCAGAGCCAGAGTCTTCCAAAGTACAGCTCTTTTCAACAGTTATATAAGAAGAGAAGTTTTGCTGGATCAGGTCAATTAATATATTTTTTTTCCAGTCCATTATTTGATTTCCAGGAAGGGCCTTCCTGATATCTTCTGGTTGAAAGAAACAACCATTTCCTATTGTTTCCCTTTCTTTGGCAGCGAGTAACCACAAGCAAATACAGAAATACTGTGATGGGAGTACCTGGGTTGGTAGAGATACTTGTGAAAAGGATATTGGAGGAGTATGTGATTGCAAAATAAACGTGAGCCAGTTGTCTGATGTAGCTGCAAAAAAGGTTAAGACCATTTTGGAGTGCATCAATAGATACATCACTTCCAAATCACGGGAAGTAATTGCTTTAGTGTATTCTGCATTCTTCGGGGCTCGTCGCAAACGCGTGTCCAGTTTAAGCTACCACACTTTAAAGAGAATTTAGAGGAATTGGAAAAGGTTCAAAGAAAGCTGATGAAAATGACCTGGAGATAGAAAATGAATTCTATGAAGAAAAATGGAAGGAACAGGAGTTGTTTACTCTTGAGAAAAGTGATGGTGTAAGGCTGGAGGGGGGGATATGATAACACTCTTACATACTTCGAAGGATGTCACACAGAAGGTCACATCTTTCCGATTCCAGAATGTAGGACACAGCATAATGGATTTAAGATAAAGAAGGCAGATTCTGATTAAATGTAAAACAAAAACTTCGTAAGAGTAAGGGCGGGCTGAGAAGGGGACTCAATTATCAAGGGAAGTGATGGGCTCCCCTTTGCTGGGTGTGTTCGTGAAGGGGCTGGAGAAACATCTGTCTGGAATGGATAGATAGAGCTGTGAGTGCGTGTGACAGAGAGAGATTCTGAAAGATGCTTGTGTTTTGAGTCAGCATTGGACAAGTCCCCGCAGTTTTCTTGGCAAGGTTTTGAAAGTGGTTTGCCCTTGTCTGCTTCTCCCTAGAACTGTCTTGCTTCGTGCCTAAGGTGGGATTAGAACTCACAGCCTCCCGGTTTCTAGCCTGGTGCCTTAACCGCTCCACCAAACTTCCTTTTGAAAGATGTGTGTCCTTTTCTTAACCATAATTTCCAAGCAAAACTTCTAGATGCCAACAGAAAATTCAGAAAATATTCTGAAAATGGTGCTCAGGCTGCAAGCTTATAGACCTTAATTGAAAGTAAGCGGCATTGAACGTAATTGGATCTTTTTGTTATGGGCTTCTGTGTTCTTTATTCTGTTAGTCCTTGGATTCTAGATTCTTTCAGAAAGGTTTTAAAAGAGAACGGTAAGGATCAGAGGCACTGGGGAGGGGGATTAAAAACATCACGGCCATGCAGTCAAAGCTCGTCCCCTTTTTCCATGTATCAGACATGCAACCCCTGTAAAAAAAGGGGTGGGGGCTTCAATTGCACAGCTGCAGTAAAGAACAGGCTAAAAGGTAAAGGTGCTCTTGACATGAACTCAAATCATGGTGATTGTAACGGGGCCCTTTTCCTTGAAATGTGGCTTTTGCAGGAGACAAAGAGGAATGTTGTTCAGTCCATGTTTTAAGTCATGGACCTGGGGCAATTATCTCTCTCTTTTCACCTTTTTGCAAATGTTGAGTCCAAGCTCTTGGCTCAGGATGAAATTCATTTAAATGGGTATGTTAGATTTAGACAGCATACAAAAATGTGCGGGTATAAAGTGCATTTTATAAGCCGCTCGTAAAAAAGGTATGTTGGAGGTAAAAAACAAACGAACCCACCTTCATTAAAAATATGAATCAGGTTTACAGGGTTTTTAATAGTAATAATCATCATCTTTGATTTGGAAATGGAGCAGAGCAGTGATTTTTTTGAAAATAAACTTGTGCAACTGATAAACGATCAGTGAATCTATACATGTAGATATATAATCTATTTAGATAGATATAGATATGTTTGACAAGCCCCTTGGGTATGATTTAGAAACCTCCATGGTTGCTAAGCCTTTTGCCCCCGATGTCCTATTTCTTTTTTATTTGTAGATTGCTAGCTGAAAACCAAAAGAGCTGCTTAATATAATGCAATACTGGCCAATTATCTCCAGCCATTATGGCGCAGCGCTCTGGGCATCTACAGAAAGCTTTCAGGAAGAATTCCAGGCCTGCTTCATGCCTTTTACTAAACCCATTTAATTCACATTCCTGCACCAAGCAGAGCAGCTACATTTGATGGCCAAAATGAGGGCGAGCAAATAAGGAAGGGCCACCCCTTTTTTGGGGTGGTGGGACTCGAACTTGTGAACGAGGCAGGGGGTTGAGCAGAAGAAGGCAGCATCTCGTCAGCCCTGAGGGATCCGTGGGGTGGGGAGTCAAGATGGCAACTTAGACCGTGTGACACGTGTAAAAAAAGGGGGTGTGGGTGTGACCATGGAGTTGCAGGCCCCATCTTGGCTTTTTTTTACACTCACCTCCCGTGGACAGCTCTGGTGAATATTTGGAAGGAAATTTCCAAGAAATCCTAGGGCTAAGCTAGACTGGGAAGTGGAAAAAAAACTTCCCTGAAAAATAAATAGCAAGTCATTTCAACATTGCTGCCAAGAAAACAGCTCAGCGGTAGGACCCCAGGAAGTTACCGGAGTAGAGCTCAGCATGAAGGAGTTTTTGCTTCTGCAATATTATGTTTTATTTGCAATCGTGTTTGGGCTGACTAAACTGCTGTCGTTGCCCTGTCATCATCTGTAAAATAAGATTTCCACACGACAGAGCACACTTAGAAGAAATGCACAGAGTAATATCGATAGATAATATCGGCACCACACTTTATTTTCCCAATATCAGCAGGGCTCAGGTTCTCACAGCTGCTTTGATGGTGAATATTCCCCATACCAGAATAAATTAGCAGGCCATTTTAATGCAGTATTCGGTTAATTCATTGCATGAGTACTTCTCATAACAAATATCACTGACCTTATTTTTTTCCCCCCTCCACATTATTTTGCTTCCCTCTAAAGCAGTGTTTCTCAGCCTCAGCAATTTTAAAATGCGTGGACTTCAACTCCAGGAACTCCCCAGCCAGCATTTTAAAGTTGCTGTGGCTGAGAAGAACTGTTCTAAATGGTAAGTCACACTGATGACATCAGACAACCTTGCCTGATCTCAAGAAGGATAAGGAACTGTGGATTTACCTGGTAAAAAACGTGGTGAGACCCCAATCCCTTTCACATTCCATGCTGTTGACCAAATTGGGTTGGTCAATCTCCCTTTAAGGGGTATTTTCTCATCCCAGGACAAGGGACTCATCCACACAAGTTGCCATTGAGCAGAGTTTTTGCTTCTTCTGACAAGTTGTTTGTTGGTCTTCACAGAGGTCTGTTAGCATCCGTAACAGCAGAACCATTATGAAAGGTCTCAGAGAGCTTGGTGGGGATATGAACATGATTTGCTCCACCCCTCCCCTGGACCGTAGCTTGAAAAGTCATCTTGGAAGAATGCAGCAGCAAACCATTTCCATGCTGTTCCCAAGAAAGCTGCATAGACTTGTCCATAAAATCATCAGGAGTTGAGCTCAGCTCAGGGAGACGCAACCTTAATGGATGCGGACTTCATTTCTAATTGCGGTAGGCCTATTTTAGGCCTACCACCACAGTTATCATTTGTCCTCCTTTCTCAGGTTGAGGGCAACTGTTCTATCAGTTTCAGCAATCTTGGTGATTCTAAGGGATCCCTAAATGGTCCTTTCCAACTCTAGGACTCTGGGGTGGGGAAATCACCTTTTAATCAACGTTTCTTTTTTTTCTTCCAGCATGAAAATGTGCAGCAATAATAGCCTTTGTCTTTCATAAAGGTAAAAATGGAGAAGACCATGGATCCTTTGTACATACCCACCACATTTCCAGATATTAATGTCTCCTTGACAAATGCCACAGACAATGCAACGGTTATGGATTTTTCTGCCTCCTCCAATATCCACTCTGTCTTCATACCGATCATTTACCTTCTGGTTTGTATTATTGGACTGAGTGGGAACACCTTGGTCATCTATGTGGTTTTGCGTTATGCCAAAATGAAGACTGTGACCAACATCTACATCCTAAATTTAGCCATCGCTGATGTACTCTTCATGTTGGGCTTACCATTTCTGGCTACCCAGAATGCCATCTCCTACTGGCCCTTTGGAACATTCATGTGTAGGTTAGTTACGGCTTTTGACGGCATTAACCAGTTCACCAGCATCTTTTGCCTGACTGTCATGAGCCTGGACCGCTATCTTGCCGTTGTCCATCCTATTAAATCTACCAAGTGGCGTCAGCCAAGGATAGCCAAATTGATCAGCATGGCAGTCTGGACTTTATCCTTCTTGGTGGTCCTTCCCATGATTATATTTGCTGATGTCCAGGAGAACTTTCATACGTGCAACATGAGCTGGCCTGATCCAGTGGAGATATGGTCGGCTGTGTTCATCATATATACATCCGTGTTGGGTTTCTTTGGTCCGTTGTTGGTGATATGCCTCTGCTATTTGTTGATTGTCATTAAAGTGAAATCCTCTGGAATCCGAGTTGGCTCCACAAGACGCCGGCGGTCAGAGCGGAAAGTGACCAGAATGGTGGTCATTATAGTAGTGGTCTTTGTTTTCTGCTGGCTCCCCTTCTACATTGTGAATATTGTCAATTTGATACTCATCTTGCCAGAGGAACCAGTCTTGGTGGGCATTTTCTCCTTTGTGGTAGTTCTGTCTTATGCCAACAGCTGTGCCAATCCCATACTTTATGGATTTCTTTCGGAGAATTTCAAGCAGAGCTTTCGGAAGGTCCTATGCCTCCGTCAAGGCAATAGCATTGAAGATGGCGACCCCACCGAACTTCGGCAGGAGAAGACTAGCCACCTGAAGGATACAATGCTGCCTCAGAGGGATGATGAATCCAATGGTCACATGCTGACTAGCAAGGTGTAGAAAGTCTGTGACTTCAAGAAGGCTGTATCTTGGTTGAAACACATGATGACAGTAAATACTGAAAGTGGACGGGGCCAGGAGACGGTGGTCACCTCATCTCCAAGCTTAACCTACAGAGATTTTCTTTCCCAGCCTTTTGTTCCTATGTCCACCTAGCGTTCTGGGGGTCATGAAAAGCTTCAGAAACAGTAACCAAAAAGAACATATTGTATTACTTTCATTCTTGCTCTCTCCTCATATAGCTGTTTGTATGTATGATACAAAAAAAGTTAGGCTATATAAACGAAAAGGCAATTCGGCTTACGATTCCATAGCAGGAAGCCTTCCCTATCAAATTTACTGGATTGGAGATGAAGATGGAAGGCTGTGTGGATAATCCACCTCCCCCCTCCCTCAAACGTGCTGCATGGCGCAACCATGCAACGAAGCCTAAAGGAAGGAATAGGCTTCATTCCCAATGGGTATAATTGCCAGCAGAGAACTGGTAAGGCCAGTAGGGCCCTGGCAAACCTCAGTCCAGTGAACTTGTGAACTGAAGAACTCCCATAGCTCATTCACACCCTTCCGGCGGTCCGCTGTCCCGCAGGTCTCTGGCATACAGGGGCTCCAGCAGTGACGGATGTAGAAGCATCTACAATAACCCAGTCGTTCGGGTGGGTGAGGATGGAAATGGGGAACTCGGTGTTTCCTTGGCAGTCCTTCTGGGTCCTGCTTTCTACTTCCCGCAGGGGGCTGGATCTTGCTACGCTGCTTTTCTTAGATCTAACAGAACCTATTTATAGCCTTACTAGGAATGCATCTGAATTAGGGAGTCCACATTAAACTTTGCTCATTCAAAACGTTCTCAAAATCTTGGGAGGTGCAAAAGTTCACTCCAACTTTTCCAAACCGTACAACTTGGTGATTTAATACGGTCTGGGCAGAAGACAGAGCAACCTGGCTATCTATATCTAATTCTCTTTTACAAGATGCCTTTTTCCCATTCATTAATCAATGAACATTTCTCCAACAGCGTCCGCGGGGAGGGGGGGCCCTAAAAAGTCAAAATGGCAGCTGCAACCATGCATTCAAAGCCTCATTCTTTTTTCTTCTTCTGTTTTAATGGGCATCACATGTGCCACACATCTAAAAAAGGGATAGGGCTCTCATTACCTGAGGATGCTCTCTCCGACTTTTAACTTTGTTTTTGTAAGTGTTTTACTGTCCTCACGGTTTTTATTTGTGAGCTGCCTAGAGTCACCCATGTAGTGAGATGGGCAGTGTGTAAATTTGATTCACAAATAAAATAAATTACGTGGTCGTGGCTGCCATCTTGACTTTACTGACCTCTCCCCACAGATGCTCCTGTATTGCTCAAAAATATCTGGTCTAGAAAAGTTAAATCTTTCTGAATCTCTTTGATTGTGAACCTGGGGGAGTTCAGCAGCTCCCAGCAAACCAGAGCACTCCCCTACTGAAGCTGATAGTAGTTGTTTTTAAACATGATTTCAACCTCTCAGACATCGTTTGGATATGAAGTAAATATGGAGGATCAAGCTGGGGTAAGATTTTATTCCTTTTCCCCACATCACTGCATCCTTTCCTTCCCCCTTCTTTCTACTTGGAAGTGTAATCCCGGAAGTTGACCAAATGTGATCCTGATCAATTAAAATGCTGCTTTAAAAAAGACATTCAATGTATCATCTCTTTCTCAATTCTTGGCAAGGCTGAGGAGCCATGAAGTGGATCCAGCAGAGCTTCCACGAGAAGCAGCATTAACCATGTCAGGGGATCCGATAGATCCGTTGCCCCAGCAGCTTCAAAGCAGAAATATTGGATCTAGAGAATCCATCAGGAATTCACACACATACAGAGACCAATTATAGTTGGTAGCTGATCGTTGCTTTGATTTCAGCTTTCAAAAATGTTCTTTCTTATATGGTCCAGGTCAGTTCCTGATGAATCCCAGACAATCATAGCACTAGATCAGTGTTGTCCAAACTTGGCCACTTTAAGATGAATGGACTTCAACTCCCAGAATTCCCCAGCCAGCCATGGGGAAAAGTGGCCAAGTTTGGACAACACTGCACTAAATTCTGCTGGTAGCAGTTACTAATTAACACTTTATTGCAGAAGTTCTCAGCATGTGAGTTGTGGACCATCCACGGGAATATGAGGTGGTTGCAAATTGTTTTTAAAAAGGTTTGAGTTTTCTGTATCTCACTGTTGCCATCTAGAGGTCTTCTGGATTACCGCAGTCTGGATATGGTAGCCCGAATTTTACTGAGAGTCAGACAAATCCATTTATCAAGTCTGTCTTTATGTGTGTTTAGTAAAACAAGAGTGCTCAGAGTTTGTGTCACATCATCAGGGTCTGCTTTCCTGAATACACATAAATACGAAAATATTCAATAAGCTAAGGCCAAATTGACAAAGTGACCTCAGACCAAATTGACACAGACAGTCAACTAATGGCACCCTGGCTTAGCAGTGAGACATCGTGCCCTTGATCTACGCTGAGATTCAGCCAAGAGCTTTTACATCTTTTCATTCAAAACACACAGAAACAAAAACCTAGCTATATTTTGTTGTCCAGAACACATCCAAGTACCAGATTTCACTATTCACAGCCCTAAAAATATATAGAGAGAGTGTATAAACAAAGATCAGGCTCATGGATGCCAGGGCTTTGCCCATTACAAAATGATGCACCCAGGAATAAATACGTAGCATGTTAATTAAAGATAACCTTGAAAGAAGTGAGTAAGATAATGAAGAAAACAAGCTAGGTAAAAAAAAGAAGAGCCAGTGAATTGTCAGGGTCCCCATCACTGTCTTTGCATGAAAAAAGGGATGGGAGTTTAGTGGCATTGTGGCCCCCATCTTGACTTTTTTGACACCCCCTGGATGCCGCCGCATGGTGGGATACCTGGCAGATGATCTAATTTGCACCTTTATCCCATGGGCTAGATCAGGGACAGGTGACCAATTGGCACTGCGGGTGCCCTTTTTTCCAAATTTAAAAGGACCAGGACAGTATGGTTGGGAGTTTCTGCCCATTATTTTGAAGGCAGTTCAGGAGTGTGTGTGATGTTGAATGCAAAATAATTGTTAAGCTACTTCTACCCCTATTTTCACTGAAAAAAAAATCAAGCTGCCGAAAATTAGCATACTTGTAGGGGAAGGGTATGAAGAGACTAGACTGGGGTGTGAAGCCTATAGGCTGGGCACTGCCTATTTTGGGGTTACATGGAATTAAACCAAAGGCAGGATTTGGTGGGGCACCAGAAGTGTATCATCTTGGTGCCTCGTCCAGAGCTTCTTTTCAATGTGCCCAGATTTATCTTGAAGTCCAGGGCCCGTGGGATCTAGCGTCCACATCTCCTCCTTTTAATTCTGGTTGAAGGAAAGAGCAGATCTGCGCCTCTTCCTCTCAAAAAGGCCACTGAGAAGTGTCAAGAGAAAGAGGTGTTGGGAGGCTGGCTGACAATTCTGTATATGCTAACCACCCAAGCTTTTATCTAGATTAGGCTCAGAGTCCACAGCTAATTGAAGCTAAATATAATTGGACTGGTTGCTAAAAGAGAGACTTTTACCATTTGAATGCACATCAATAAAAGCATATTGCTTTGAAGACCGTTTTTTTTTTTTTAATTATGTCCTCTCTTAGCAGAACAAGATCTAGCAGTAAATGGTCTTGTTCTGATTTTGAAATACCCCTTGCTATAAGAAATGTTCAGGAGGGAGCAGTCTAATGCCCATTAAAATACTTAAGTGAGGTAGGTCCAAAGGAGATGGAAGGGCCGCATGGTACTATCAATCAATACCACTTACAGCTATATCTCCCTAGCAACAGTGGTCCAGGGAAGACACAAAGTTTGCTACATGCAGTCTTTCTCTGCCTCTGCTGGTGGTGAGATGAAAAATACTGAGCATGATAGAGACATCACAAATCATCCTCCGATCCTAGAGAAGTGACAACCTCATGGATAACATTCATCTCCCACAGGGCCCAGGTGAGCCATATTTAGTCTCATAATGAATAATGAAGTCAATTGGAATGCCTATTCCAAAACTCCTAGGCGAGGACCCCAAAAGCTGTGATAAAATGCCCCTCCAAAAGTTTCTATCAATGTGACAGAAGGAGGAAGATGATTAAATACATGGAGATGGATCATCTCAACTGTCCTGAGGGAGTTGTGTGGGGGCTTCATTAAGCTGTTTTCCTGGTCACATCCACCTACCTTTGAGAGACTGGACCGTCAAAGGTTCCCCTCAAAGCCCAACCTGGAAAATAGTACCAATCCCAAGATATGACTCCTGCAATAATTGGCAATGTTAATTTTAACATGAGGCATTTCTCTCCAAGAAACCCACCCCAAAAAACCCCATGGCTGCCAAAAAACATTTTAGAAGCTGAGAACCCATAAACCTCTTCTTCTCCTTCCTTGCACCTTCCCTCCGTGTCCCCAGTAACATTATTTCAGCTGCGGACAGGGTGTTTGTGGAAGAAAGCCATGGGAAGGTTGAACATGCTGCATACCTTCTGTGGAACTGTGTCCCTGTTAAAATCAGACCTCTTTCAACCTTAGTGGAATCCAAAAGGCAGCCATGATGTCTTGGTTTGAGCTCACGCACGTTTCAAGGAGGTGAGAAAATGTTTTGTTCACAACCCTTAGCAGGCCAACAATTTCACCTGGAGTTGAATCTGAAGAAGGGCTCACCACAAGTAGCCTTTCAAAATGTTCCAAAACTGAATTTCTTTAAGGGTAAGAGAAATCCTTTATTTCGCAAGGGTACGATAGGATGACTGCTTAGTGATATCAGGAGCAATTGAAAAAGTCCCATAGAAGGAGTTCACTGTTGATGGTGTCTTCCCATGAGAAGCTAGGAAGACTACATACCAGCTGGAGGAGTGATTGTGCCATAAAGACATTCACACACACCATCTTGTTGCTAGCAGTGCAAGAACACCACACTGAAATTGTCTTCAAAAAAATGCTCAGAACAAATACCTATTAATTTAAATGAGAATTAATTAAAAATGCAG